GGGGGGGGGGGCCCCTACATATGAAGTTTTCACGTGATGCGGCGATCTCGAGGATTCCAGCCCCTCACTTGCTAAAGCAAGGACAACTCCAGCTAGCTGGTGCTAGCTTTCGTGATTAACACAACATATGACCAACAAAACAAAAAAGTACGTTAGGACAACAAAAAAAATACGAAAAGCAAAACACACCCCAAGAGGAAGAGACAAAAACAGATACAACAAAGACCTGAGTAACATGAGAAAACAAATCTTAAAAGAAAAACGCATCACAAAAACAATGGAAAAAAAGAAGAGCCACACACCATCAGACATACAAGACCCAGAGAAGAAAAATAACAACCAAAACCATGAGTTAAAAAGACACATCACAAGAAAAGACCAAAAAAGAACCAAAAAACACAACACACACTGCCAAGAGATACAAAAAGGAAACCAGGAGTAACACGCCACAAAAACAAAACAAAAACACACAAATACACCACCCATGACAAGAACAAAAGAAAGAAAAGATATAACACACGCGTGCTCCAAAACGACCCTAATCTCCCACGTTCCTAATTCCCCGTTCTGAAACGACCCCTTTCTCCGGCGGTCAGGGGTCTTCCCCATTTCGGCTGAGTTGTCAGAAACGTTCAGCTGTGGTTCCGAAAGACAGCAGCAGCGGCTTCTGTTGAAGGAAGGCTTCCATAGATCCAGAGGGCTGCCAATTTGGAAGCTGAGGCAGAAAAAGGTTGCCAGTGACCTGCAAAAAGCTGCCACTTTGAGAAATGACTCTCACAAATCTCAATCAAAAGGCTTGGCCATTTCAATCCACAGTCTGCAAAATGCATTTGCACCTGCATGTTTTGTGGAAAATCTGCTGGACGATCTTGCAGATTGGGACTCCAAAGCCCTCGGGCAAATGCTGCGAAGGACAAAGGACCAAAGATCTAGGTTGCCAAGTCGCGAACCCCAAGAAAGCTTGATTAGAATCATGCAAATATATATATACACACATTATATGTATATATATCATAAGGCAAAGTTTTTTAACCTATGCACCTTGCAACACCGTTTGTTCGTCCCTGAAGAAGCAGGTGTGTGCCGCTTGCTTCTGAAGCAAAACAGGTTCTAAGCCAATGATCCAAGACATGGGGTCTCGGCCAACTTCTTAAAGAAGCCGAGACCAACGTCATGATCAATGCCAGTGATCTTTTTGAGCTCCTCGAACTCCTTCCTTCAAAGCATCACAAGCTTGACTGCGAACTCCACAAGAACCAACGAGACACACTCCACAAGAACCTTGTTCAATCCACACTCTCACAACACAACACAGCTACAGCTCTTCCGGACCCTACTGCATCTCCAGCGATCGTGAAGAGATTTCCAAGCTAAGTAGAAACACTAGCAAGCCAAGATTCTTAAATATGTTCGAGCCGAAGATGAAGGGCATGAAAACACAAAAGAGAAAGTGTAGGTGCTTGAGTTTATTCATAAAGCCTGAGGCTCTCGGAGTCTTCAAATGTGAGTCGTCAAATTGTCACATTCTGGTCAAACTCAACTCGGCAGATGAGGTGTTTACATCATATTACTCTTTGGTTTTGAACTTTTACTTGTCAAAACTTCCATTGATCTTGATCGAGAACACCTTTTCGTGTATCGGGAGGCGCTGCGACACAAGCAACATCAGCAAGTTCCACTTCACAGGATCCGACTTACAAAAAGACCGCTGAAAGATGATAATATCCACAACCTTTGTGTTATCCCCTCACAGAAAGACAGCTACAAGGACATGCAGATGCAACCCTTATATTGCCGTTCGAACTCAACTCCGCCGCAAAGTAGCCGCCCGACATCTCATATCCACCTGGTGCCCAGGCAGAGGTGGCAATATTCCAAAACGTGAAGGTTGTTCGAATCCTAGGTCCGGTGAACTGTCTCATCAAGCATTCTGCCCACACCATCTCAAGGCATAATATCACATCGGCTTTTGAGCAAGTACTCACAGTACTCACCTTTTTACCAAATACAAATGACACAAATACAAAAAAACAAATGACGATGATTGCTTTCGCAAAAGACTTGCATGAATGTTTGATGCCACCGAGCTGCACTTTCAAATTAGGTCGGTTCTTCATGAGGCGATGACTGGCCTTCAACTGAACGTGTGGGGTTCAGCTGTGAAGACATATCAGCTAGACACGCAGAATCGAGCACAACCCGCAAAGGGTACCATGTAGGTGACTGCAAATATTTCTAGATGATCCTTGTGGGATCGGCAAACCTCCTGAACCGAGAAATCTTCTCAGTACAACTGGATCAGGAGCACAAAACATCTGCACAACATTCAAACAGCCCTCAACTACGCGAGCACCCGGCCACTTGGGTGCAAATGTTGCACAAGATCACATCATAGTCCTCCTCCCAGCAAACTAAGCTTTGCAATGTTGGGGATGTTCTTTGAAACAACAAGAAGAAATAATCTATAAAGTGTGCAAACACTAAATGACAACATACTTCAGGCTTGTCAAGCGCAAGGAACCAGAATCTAGATACTAAATGTTGCTCTGCAAGCACTCCAACCAAGCCGATCATCGGCCTGGTCCACCAAATCCCTGCAACCTGCTAGCGCCTCTGGAAGGCACTCCTGCACAGCAGCACTAAACACAGCCGGCATGGCCACCAGATTGGGACCCCACCTCCAGATTCCAGGACACACCATGCTTGTTGGCCACTGACAGAAACTCTTTCGCGTTCATGGACCGGCGAAGGATTCCAACTTCCTGATGGTCAAAACTCAAAGCATCAAAAAATCAAGGACATTCAAGTTTTTTGACGAAAATGGTGCCAACCGGCTTTTGGCAAAAGTCCTTTCACTGATGAATTACTGGTGATTCTCAACGATAGCTACCGCAGCGACGGCGATCGTTCACCGAACTTTCCGACCTCTGGTGACATGACCTTCTTGTCATTCCGCCATGTAAAAGGGACTCTACCAACCACAAAGCAGCGGACTCCATACCTCAGTTGGCTCCAGATGCTTGATACATGATACTTGGATTCGGAACCTGTGAACACAGAGATTGATTTTTTTCAAATTCACAATGGTAATGAACTATGTAACGACAGCACCATTGTTTGCACATTGCATGAGTGCAATTGATGAACGCTCGAACAGAGTCTTCCACGCCAGGACAGACGGCCATCGCCGCCTGAAACAAAGCATGGTGCAGCGGATGATTGGTAACTTGGCCCTAGGACGCAGGAATGATTCCTCTCGGAACCCCATGAAAACAAAACAATATGTGCAAAGCAGTTCTAAAGTATTATCAATCTAAACATAGCTCCCTTGCGGCCGCCTCGGATGTCTGTCTGTGCTGACATACTGTATATATAAAACTTTTCAGATTTCTTTACACCGGGCCTGGTGACCACGATCTTCCAATGCTTTGCAAATAGCAACGCCAGGCATCACATCACCGCGTGTACCAACAAAGAACCTGATTTGTGCACAGAAACGATCGAATTTGTTTCAAAAGTACAAACAACTATAGAAATAATCTTAAAATGACAACTTCGACATCATAAAACAGTCTCGAGTCTCAAGCAAATCAAAAACTGACTATATATTATATACAAATGTGATTTTTCATAATCATGATGGTTGGTAGCCATTCAAATGTGTTAACTCTGAAAATTGATCGTTCTGGCCAAGGTGCACCAAGACCTTCAATTTTGTCTCTGCCATTGCTAACAATCACTCAAAGCAAACAGAACGGAACCTCAAGCAACGACGTGTAAAGTTGAATCCCAAAAAACGCACCATGGCTGTTGCTAAAACCATTTGGGTACACCTGAACAACCACATCTGAAAATATGAAAACTTAGACGTCAGCCAAAAGCAATGAATATGGCCAACAAACAAACACGGCCGTTCAAAAAAAAAAACATGACCCAAATATGCCAACCAAACCTAATGAAAAAATAAAGTCGTTTTGTGTGTGTGTCATCCTTGCTGTGAAGTGTCCTTGCACACACTGACACCTCCACCTGTCCTGTGCTTTGCAGGCACTCAAATTTCAAACCTTGCACTTCAGTCTCGACATTTCGTGAAACTTTGGTCATGCATCGGTCAGCTGTTCTCATCCAGCTTCTTCACTTGGGTCTTCGATCACCTTCTTGGACTGTGATCCGCAGCGCTGCAGACCCTGGTGCTCGATTGTGATCAAGGGCTCATCATCTGAGTCGGCAATGTTCTTTGAACCCACTGCTCATCACTGCACTCAGATTCCCATGAGCATGTTCTCGGCTTCATCCTTTTCATCTTCCTCGCTGTTCCATCCACTGGAACTTCTTCTTCTGCGTCATCTCTTGTCACTTCTGCTTTATCGCCTGTCATGAATTTTTTGCACGAGTCGAGCTGGCATTCATGCAGGAAGTGCACAGGTCAGCTTGTGCAATTTTTGAAGAGCCTCCATCATGAAAAGGTGCCAAACAACAAAAAACCACAAAGACAACAAACGCCCCAAAACCAAACACAACCGACAAAGAAAGCACGATGATGGAGACTCTTGGATGTACATGCAAGGGTGAAACAGATATTGGGCAATGAATTACTACAAAAGGCCACAAGATCGATTATCAATGCGGTTCGAAGTAGTCGGAAGTTTTGAAAGAGTTCTTTGTGTGTGGAGATACTTTTAAGAGACTTTTAATATGTTTTTGTGCATTCTTTGTATAGTTTAGTGCTACGGGATATGTTTTGGCTCAAGGCCAATTCGTTTGGCTAGTGTGAGAAAAGGGTGCGAGTGTCTGAGAGCAGCTAGTGCAGCATTTGAAGTTTTTCGAGGTATTCGGAAGTGTAAGAGAGAGGTTTCGTACCGTACCGGACGAGTGTGAGAGCCTGTTGTGAGCTAAAGATCCAAGGGAGGTAGGTAGTCTACCGTATAAGGTTGCTACCCGGAGTTTTTCGTGGTAGCGGAGCGTGGAGCTCCCAGGAAGAATGTCCAGTCCTACCGAGCGACGGACAGCATCGCCAACGAGGAGGCGACCAGTGAGTATGGAAGAGTACACAGGTCGAGAGAGATCTCCACCACCAGATCCAGCAGGGAGTGCTGCTGCAGAGATACCGGTACCGAACAGCCCTACTCCAACGGGGAGAATGTTTCAAGATAATTTCAACTCACCTCAGATGCCTGCGAGTCCTACCGGAGGACAGGGATTGACACAAGAAGCGTTGATCGAAGTATTGAGAAACCAGCATCAGAATATCGTTCAACAGCAGAACTTGATCGCTGGACAAGGAGCACAAATTTCAGAACTGACCAAGCTAGTTTCAGGTTTGGTTCAGATGCAGACTGATGTCTTGAAAGACCAAGCTCAACGCGAAGCGGATGAGCGTGAGAGAAAGGCAGAAGAGGAGAGAAAAGCTGCAGAGGAAGCTGCTATGTCCAATACACCGAGAGCAGGATCACTGTTCACCTCAGCACCCAAGAAATCTGACTCAAAATATTCTGGAAGCAGTGGAGGAAAGATGGAGAGTTACACACCGAACTGTCCACAACTTGAGATCAAAGATTCAGGAAGGAGACATGAGATCAACACCTGGTTATCCTTCAGAGAGCGATTTGGATCGTGGTTGTGTCTTTTGGACGAGTGCTACGCAGCGGAATTGCAAGAGGCAGTGAAGCAAACAACCACCATTGAGCAAGGGAAACTTGCCCCGGAAGCCGCAGTGAGGAGTAGTAAACTGTATCACTGGATGAAACAAGCAATGTCAGGATACAAGAGGGGATTGGACCTCGCAGTCCTGCAGGAACGAGAGCAGGGAGGACTCACGATCCACCCTTGTACTTCCTAGTGGGCAGGTCCTTTTTCCCTTTGAAGATTCACCACACGTCACAAATGATGGTGTTCTCCTGCATGGTAGGAGTGCCCTACAAAGGGCAATTGTTTATCGCATTCTTCAACAATCAGAATGTATATCTCCCAATGGATGGGTGGTAGCGCGAGGACAGGCCAGACCTCCAGAACCGGGGGAGGTTGTAGCCTCTTTCCCTTTCTCACAGCTCTATGCCTTGCCAGCTGTACCTGACGCCCCACCTCGTCCGACACCACCAATCCCGCCCTGGCTGTTGCCGCAAAGTCGCCCCACCCCCGTCCAAGAGCAGACAACTCGAACATATGGAGGTGCAAATTTGCCACAAGCCGACACAGTGCGCCCCCCTGCCCAGCTAGGTGTTTATGCATTGCAGGCTCTTACGGAACAGGACGTGATTGCTGGTCAAGATGTGCCATACGCACGACTTAGTAGAGAACTCATCACTCGTGCCAGTACAGTGCGAGTACTAGCGTGCGACATCCAACGCACCCTTCAAAACATACATGCACATCGACAGCATTGCAATGTACAGCCAGGGGCCAATGCGTGCTGGGCACTAGCTAGCGAAATGGACATGATACTTACCGCCCTGAGAGAGACGCAGAGCGCTACCACATGAAGGGCTTCCAGAGTTAACCAAACCAACCTAGGCAACTAAGTTGTGGCTGACCAATTAGCGAGCATACTAACTCGCATCACGGGCCCCTTTACCTACGTAGCAAGCTACGGACCAAAGTTCTTTCTCCGGTAGTTGTGTTTCTCAAGCTCATCGCATGAGACTAAGAGAGCCTGCTGCTGTTCAGGCTCGAAGTAGAGCAGTGACCGCGCGCCTCTGCCCAGCCTGGTCAAAACAAACAGTAGCTGTTGTTGCCCATGGCCCTCCCTTTCATTGTTGGCCCTCATCAGTGCTCCCTCACTCAGGGCCCAGATGGGCGCCCTCAAGTTGAGGTTGTCTTGCGCATAAGGCTACCACTGGCGGAGTTTTTCGATGCTCTCCTCCTTACACTTGCAGAACAGCACCCCCTATTTCCACAGGGAGGGCACGAGCTTGATCCGGCTACTATAGCCCCAGTCAAAGCAGGTCTGCTGGCAAAGGAGCGCAGTAGCCCCCCTGTAAAGGAGGAGGCTTCGCCCAAGAGGAAAACAGCTGGTCGCATACAACCCAAGAAGCCTGCTCATCCTCCCATGCAGGTTACACCTGCTGATCCCACCCACGAAAAGCTGCTTGCGGTACTCTCGCAAGCCGCGCAACTCCCTGACGCAGAGGAGCGAGGGGGCGTTACTGCTTCTGCAGATCCCCCACCTACTCACCCTGGGGGGATGGCGAGGCCGCCAACCCTGGCGCCGGCCAATGATTGGCCTCCCCGACAGGCCACAAGCAGTAGGCTCCCGGCACAGCAGTGCATTACACAAGGAAATGTTCATTACCGTGTTGCGGAAGATGGCACGCAAGAGCATCTACCACCGCCGCGTGCATTTGCGCACCCAAAGAAGTGCCCTGTCCAGTGAACCTGAGACGAGACTGATTGCTCCCCTTCCCCACTCTTCCATGGGCCCCCATAATTGTCTCCATTTGTCCCTGCAGACTTTTGGCTCAGAGTGAGAGAAAAAGCTTGACAGAATAGCTTGATAGCTCTTCTCTTGTATCACACCAGCCGACTCGACGCTTGACCTAGCCTGCGCACATCGGTGTAAAGACAAACTGCAAGTCGAACTAGCCACGCAGGCGCATCCAGAACCTCTGTTCCTGGCAGATGATGGTACATATGTTGATGTCACTGATTTTGTTCGTTTTGAACTCGACCATCAGGACATTCGATATGGGGTCTTAGACCTCATTGTAACCTTCGTCTATCGGGGCAGGAGAGAGCGGTGCTACTTACTTCATTTCTTCCCGGTTGATGCAGTCAAAGAAAACGTACACACTCCTTTCCCCGAATGGACGGAGGGGTTTGAATTTCCGCCAGCACTGCTCAAACTTCGGGCAGTCATAGATGATGCTATTATCCCGCTCTATCATCAGGGCTGTATTGCAATCAACACCAGGGGGGCCACAATCTATGGAACAAAGCGAACTAGGCTTCGCAGGATGATTTTGCACATACAGCATCACGAAAGCCACCTCCTCACTGTGCTGGCAGAAGCGGTGAGCGCTAGGCCCATTGCAGAGAACGTAGACCCCTTTGACATCTTCCTGCAGACACGCCCCTTTTCAGCCTCCCTTCCTCGGCGAGTAGGCTTTTGGTCCACTACCGACAGACAACAACAGCATGTCCTTCGAGTAGACACGCAACTAACTGCGCAACCGCCCCCACAGCGTCACACAGACCGTACGCACCACCAGATCGAATCAGCCCTGCATGCAAGAGTGCAAAGTCTGCATGCATTGGTACAGGAAATTGAACAAACAGTGGACTCTTTGCCTCATGATGTGCAGGGTGCGCTACTCACTCCCCTGACTGACCTACATACCCAGCTGTGTGGCCTGGTTTACGTAGCATGGTTATTTTCTCTATTACACCCACATGCGGATGACCACGATCAGTAGTGACAGGGCCCCTGATATGCCCCTGAAACAATCGTGAGTCTCTTTCCTTTGCAGTATAGGTTGAACAGGTGTCCCCGGCACTATGCTAAATACAGTTGATCCGTCACGAAAGCACTTTGCTGCAACGTTTGGCTCACAGCAGGTCGTAGTGCCCTGCATGCAGGAGTGAGGTCAGCCTTAGCTGGCATCATTCGTGTTGCCTTTCGTGTGCTTTCGCCGCCAGGGCACCTGCCAACCTTAGTTGGCGGGGGCTATACCTGCATTGTCAAACAGAGAAACTCGAATGTCACATGACCCGTGGATGGAAGACAGCAATTCACTGGACCTAACGGATACCGCAGAGAATAGAGTCCATGCTCCCTTTGTCTTCACACGTGACCATGCAGACTGGTTGACCACGGATGGCCAAGCCTGCTTTGCCAGGGGCGCGGGGGATAGTGTGGCGCAGTCCCAGAATGAAGCTTATGCAGCACTGACTATGAAAGACACTCTTAGCAGTCCTTTCGGTCTTGACTCTGCTCGGCCTACACTTGGCCTGACTGACGTTCGTGCGCAGCCATCCAAAAAGGACGAGGGGTATGCTGCTCTCGAAACAGAGGGAGAGCTGCCTGATACTACTGCCATTATTCAGACACTCATCTCACACCGAGACCTGATCATGAACAATCACATGATTTACCTAATTGTGGACAATCGAACACCTGCTGCTGTCCCATATTGGCCGGCTTTCGCTGCCTGGTGGGCCTCACGCAGATGCCTGGTGGGTCCCCATGACGAGAGGACTGACATACTGTGGATCTGTGCTGATGCTACTACTGGCCTTCATAAAGTTCCATACTATTGGGCAGGGGTCTTTGTCCTAGAGGCAGCGCGTTTCCTGTATCCTGCACAGCATTTTGCACTCATTGACAATGACTGTGTGCCCATTACGCTATTTGAGGTGCAAGACCTACTGCAGCTGGCACATCAGCAGCACCGATGGGCTGATCTCATAGGGTATGCACGCTCCGAATCTAGCCCTAGTGCTGGGATAGGCATGCTGCTTTTTACAGAAGCGCACTTAGAGTATAATGCAGGTTTGGTCATATCGATCGGCAATCGCAACAAGCACAGTCCGCTGGAACATGACACGTCTGCCCGGACC